TCCATTGCCTCAATTCTGCTCCTATGACTTTCTATTGAGTTGTCTAATTCTGAAATTTTATTGTTAATCTTCCGGATTTCTGATTGCTGTCTCTCTATGGATTCTTGCAGCCTGTTAAATCTGTCATTATGCTCTTCTCTAATCTTTTTAATTTCCTCTATTGCATGTTCTGCCTTTTGATCAATTTCCTTCCTCATTTCTTCAAGAGTTCTGTATATTAATCTTTGTATTCTGCCTCCGGTAATTCCAAGAAATTTTCCTCTTCTGGAAAATTTCTTGATTCTGTGTTTTGGGAGCTTGCTAAAGCCATTGTAGACTGCCTCTTTAAGTGATTTGATACTGACTGTTGTCTCTGAGACATCGATATAATTATTTTGTTTGCTTACTGTGTCCTAGCTTCTTGTTTCGTTTTGATATGCCCAAATAGGTGGCTGGTATGAGCTAGTTTGATTATTAGCACCTTTGAAGCTCTAATGTCCTGTCACCAGGTGGTTAGACCTGTTACTAGCTATGTGAGCTCAGGAGTCCACCCACTCCTCCTGTATGGATTCAGCTTAGGTGCCCAGGTAAATAGCCACCATGTGTGTGGTGTAGACTCTTACCTACAGTCCTAGACAGGCATGGGTGTTTGGTGTAGGCACAGGCATCGGGCTACAGCAAGGGGACACACTCTGAACAAGGCAGGGGGCTGACGGCTGCCCCCAAATGTCCAGGAGGAAGGCATGTCCCTGCTCCCTAGAGTGCATAGGTGGGTGGGTTTTGCAGCTGGACTATAAGCCCTCAGTGCTGTTGGCTATAAGGACTGGGTGGGGGTGGGGGGGCAGGCACCTCTTATTGTTGGGCCCCTATCGCAGGTGGCTAGAGCCACCAGTCCTCAGGCCCCTGATGTGGGTAGGTGAAGACCCTGCTTAATGGGCAGGGAAGTGTCAAATGTCATGAACCTGACACTTCACAGCTGAAATAGCTGAAGTTAGACTTCAGGTATATATCCTGTTGTACTGCAGTAATGAGAGCCTACGCTGTTGAAATGGGCCCATACAAATCTTTGCAGGGGAAAAGGCACTCGAAGTCCGTGGATCCCTAATACCTGTGCCTGGGCAAAGGAGCTGTGCCTCCCTTGGGTTCCTGGCTTAGGGGAGGCAGCAGTTTAGTTCTTCCCCTGTTTATCTGTTCGCTCTCCAAGGCCAGAAGAATGGCTCAGGGGACTCAGCAATTGCTGAAGCTGGTCTGGGACCCAGCGCAGAGCAGGGAGCAGGGAGGTAAATGGGAGAGAGGTTTTTCTCTAAGGGGGGTGTTTTTGATCCACGGTAGACCATACACAAGTACTTATCTTTCGCTGTTCGAGGGCTGCTTCTCACTGGTTCTGGGTGGCCGAGTAGACTCTGGTGCTGGGCCTCTCCCGGTACGGAAAACGCGCCTCCCAAGCACCAGTGCTTGCCTGTCTCACCGCTCACCCATGAGCTGCTCAGGCCTGAAGGGCTCAGGTTCTCGGCAGGTCATATATGGCAACTCCTTGCTGCTTCCAAACCGTCTCTCCCTCCCCCTGCCACTCAGTGCTGTTCCTCAACTTTGCCTTAGATGTTCAGGGCTCCTAGACTGTCATATATAATTAATTCACTTGTTTTTTCGGGTCTTTGTTGTAAGAGGGTCCACCAGAGGTGTCTGACTACTCCGCCATCTTGGCCCCACCTCCTGAAACAAATCTTAAGACACACAACATACAAGCTCCAAACTTCCCACTTATTGGCTATTATGAGGCTATGAACATTCACGTGCAAGTTTTCGTGTGGACATACGTCTTCATCTCTCTTGGGTATATACCTAGGGATGGAATCGCTGGGTCGTGTGATAATTCTATGTTTAACTTTTTGAGGAACTGCTAAATTGTTTTCCAAAGCAGCTGCACCATTTTACATTCTTACCAGCGTATATGAGGACTCAATTTCTCTACATCCTCGCCAACACTTGTTATTGTCCATCTTTTTGACTCTAGTCATCCTAGTGGGAGTGAAATGGTATTTCACTGTGGTTCTGATTTATATTTCCGTAAGGACTAATGATGTAGAGCATCTTTCCATGGGCTTATTAGCCATTTGTATATTTTTTGAAGAGAAAAATCTATTCAAATCCATTGCTCATTTTTAAATTGGGTTGTCTTTTTATTGTAGAGTTGTAAAAGTTCTTTATATATCTGGATACTAGAATACTAGACCCTTATCAGATATATGGGAGTCTTGGTGGGGCAGTGGTTAACAGCTCTGCTGCTAACAGAAAGGTCAGCAATTTGAATCCACCAGCCGCTCCTTGGAAACTCTAGGGGCAATTCTACTCTGTCCAATAGGGTTACTGTGAGTCGGAATCGACTCGATAGCAATGGGTTTTGGTTTGATTATCAGATACATAACTTGAAAATATTTGTATTGTCTCTCCATTCTGTGGGTTGTCTTTACTTTCCTGAGAGTCTCTAAAGCACAGAAGTTTTTCATTTTAACGAAGTCCAATTTACCTGTTTTGTTTTGGGTGCTTGTGATTTAGGTGTCGTAAAAATGGCATGTGTGTGTGGGGGGCATCTAACCTCCTCTAACTTCACAAGGGGGAAGGAGAATCAAGATCAACAGTCCAAGGCTGATTCCTATGAAGTGGAGGTCAGACATGCCTCTTCCCTCTCCCTTTACCAATTCTGACATCAACCATCCCTTCCATGGCACATCTCTACTTCTCTGCCAGGTTTGATAACTCATTGCAACGGCCACAAAGAACTCACAGACAATACTCATGATTATGGGGTTTATTAGTAACAGGTTACAATTCAGGATCAGGAACACTCAGGATACAGATCAGGACAACCTCTTCTCAGCCATCCCCGCAGGCACATCTCTCTCTGACTCCTCGGCCCAGCCTTTTCCCTGCTCAGGCAAGTGTTACAACGCTCTGCTGATAAGTGCCTGGAGGCACCCCACTCTGCCAGTAAGCCTTGTGCCTGAAGGCTCTCAGCTTTCTCACTCAGGGGACTGGGAAGCCCCACTGCAGCCGTACTGTGCCGCTGTCTCTCACTGTCTTCCACGTTACAGCTCCTCTCTCTGTTTCCTGGATCTAGGAGGTTCTCAGTGCAGAGATCCCAGGTCCAAAAGATGTGCTCTACTCCTGGCTCTTCTTTCCTGGTGATGCTGAGATCCTCCCCTCCCACCTCTGGCGTGGCTCATTTTAAGCACAGCAGGACGGCAAAACTGACCAATTCCCCTCATTAGGGTTCCATACACCTCATTTACATGGTCCCACCCCCACAAGGGTGTCATTCACCTTACTGACATTATTAGCAAGCTATCCTATCCCCTTGGCACAAGCACCTCATTTGCATAGTCGCACCCAGTCATTTGGTGAGCATTACACTGTGGCTAGAAGGGCCATATTGAGTAATTCATTGCACCACAGGTGTCATAGCTAAGAAATCATTACCTAATCCAAGGTTGTGCAGAGTAACACCTTTGTTTTCTTCCAAGAGTTAGTTTTACGTTATACATTTAGGTCTTTGATCCACTGTGAGCTGTATATGGTGTTAGGCAGGGGTTCTACTTCATTCTTTTGCATAGGGGTATCCAGTTTTCCCAGTACCGTTTGTTGAAAAGACTATTCTTTCCCCACTGCGTTGTCTTGGTACTCTTATTGAAAATCAACATAAATATGTGGGCTTAATCCAAACACTTTGAGGGACAGAATAGCTGGGGCTGGGGCCTGGGGAACCATAGTTTTGTAGGACATCTAGATCAAGTGGCATAACAAAGTTTATTAAGAAAATGTTCTGCATCCCACTTTGGTGAGTGGCATGTGGGATCTTAAAAGCTTGTGAGCGGCCATCTAAGATGCATCCATTGGTCTCATTCCACTTGGAGCAAACTAGAATGAAGAAAACCAAAGACACAAGGAAAATACTAGCCCAAGAGACTAAAGAACCACATAAACCAGAGACTCCACCAAGGACCGCCCTGACAGGGAACACAACAGACAGTCCTGGACAGATTGGGAGAAAAGTGTGGAGCAGAACTCAAATTCACGTAAAAAGACCAGACTTAATGGTCTGACAAGAGACTGGAGGAACCCACAGATGCTCGGTTAGCCCAGAAATGAAACCATTCCTGAAGCCCACTCTTCAGACAAAAAAAAAATTAGAACTGTAACACAAAAAATAATACACGTGAGGAGTGTGCATCTTAGTTCAGTGAGATACTCTAGACCAAATGGGCAGCTCTTGTCTGGAGGCAGGATGAGAAGGCAGGAAAGGACAGGAACTGGTTGAATGGACACAGGGAACCTGGGGTGGAAAGGGGGAATGTGATGTCACATTGTGGGGATTGCAATTAATGTCACAAAACAACACGTATATAAATTTGTGTATGAGAAATTAACTTGAGCTATAAACTCTCACCTAAAGCATAATAAAAATACATATATATGTGGGCTTATTTCTGGACTCTCAATTCTATTCATCATTCTATATGTTTATCCTTTTGCCAATACCACACAGTCTTGATTGCTGTAGCTTTGTAGTAAAGTTCTGAAATCGGGAAGTGTGAATTCTCCATCTCTGTTCTTTTTCAAGATTGTTCTGGCTATTCCAGTTCCCTTCAATTTTCATACGAATTTTAGGATCGGCTTGTCAATTACAGCAAAAAAGCCGACTGAGATTTTGATAGGGATTGTGTTGAATCTGTAGATCAATTTGGAGAGTATTGCTGTCTTAATAATACGCTTATTCCTAAGTATTTTATTCTTTTTGATACTTTGTAAATAAAATTGATTTCTAATTTCCCTTTTGAATTGTTCATTTCTAGTGTTGATTTTTATATACTTATCTTGTATCTGGCAACCTTGCTGAGTGAATTTATTAACTCTAATAGTTTTTTTTTTTTTTCCAGATTCCTCAGGATTTTCTACATTCAAGATCGTATCACTCACAGAAAGAGTTTTATTTCTTCCTTTACAATACGAACGCCTTTTATTTCTTCTTGTCTTATTGCCCTGGCTAGAACCTCCGTTACAATGTTGACTAGAAGTGATGACAGCAAAAATCCACCCATGTCTTGTTCCTGATCTTAGGGGGAAAGCTTTCAATATCATAGATGCCCTTTATTAGGCTGAGAAAGTTCCCTTCTACTCCTAGTTTGTTGAGTGTTTTTTATCATGAAAGGGTGTTAGATTTGGTCAAATGCTTTTTCAGTGTCTATTGAGAATATTGTGCTTTTGGCCTTTATTCTGTCTATATGATGTATCACATTAATTTTCACATGTTGAACCACCCTTGCATTCCTGGGATAAATCCTACTTAGTCATGGTACATAATCCTTTTTATATGTTGCTGGATTCAGTTTGCCGGTATTCATTCCTAACGAATACTGGTCCGTAATTTTCTTTTCTTGTGATGTTATTGTCTGGTTTCAGTATAAGGGTAATTAATACTGGCCTCACAAAATGAGCTGGGAAATGTTCCCACCTCTTCTGTTTTTTGGAAGAGTTTGTAGAGGATTGGTGTTAACTCTTTATTAAATGTTTGGCAGAATTCACCAGTGAAGCCATCTGGTACTGGGCTTTTGTTTGTGGGAAGTTTTTGATTACCAATCAATCTCTTGTTACAGGCTTAAGCAGCCTATCACCTACAAAAATAGTTATTTTTTAACCTACAAAATTTGCGATTTTATATGGTTCAACTCAATACATTTTTCCTTCTACACATTTTCTGCCTGTCTCCCCTGTCCAACATTATATGGGGAGGAGGGGAGGTCTTGCATCTTTCTCATCAGTTTGAACCAGTTCTGTATGGTTCGTATTTGGTGACTGCTTTTTGGCTTGTTTTTTAGTTTATTTGTTTTTAAATTCTGGTCCTATTTTACCTGGTTATACCAAAGATTTAAATTTTTATTAATTAGCTCTATTCAATTTTTCCTTAGTAATTTGTTGCATTACAGGTTTTACGATCACAGGACTTCTTCATCTAGTTAGCTGATGTTAAAAGTTTATTTTCTCCAGTACATCTTTCCCCTTCAGTGACTCACAAAAAGTAATCCTTCCTGTTTTCATTACTGAAGCAGAATCTGGCAAACACCATAAGTTGAGACTTGTATGAAACATCTGTACTTTCATCCAACTCTAGAGCAATCCTCCCACACGGTGTCATCTGCTTTAGTATGTGTTTCTTCAAGCCTTCTCCAATGTTTGCCTTGGATTTTCTGACAGGATTTGCTGATAAAGAAATGCATTTTAGGTTTGTCATCATAATGCTGTCAGCCATTTTTATCAGTGCAGCAAGGGAGTATTTTCCCAACGGCATGTGGTCTTTTGCCTTTCACGATTAAGACAGAAACCTGAGAAGAGGTTTCTAAATATTTACCACATTTTCTAAAGCGCCGGATTGAGCACTGAATGGCAGTACACATCCCTCTACATTCTGGAGAGTTCTGTCTCAGTGTCTGGTTTCAGCATGGAACAATCGCGCAAATCACGGCAGCTTCGTGCTATCACGAGCTGACTTCCCCAAGCACAGCATACCCCGAGGTGGCTCACCAGAGACAGGAGTGGCTCAAATCCTCTATTTTAAACAGGCTTCTTGAAAACTGACATGTCTCTGGCCAATTTCTAGGGGGATCTGAGGTGCTGTTTCGGCCTCACAAACTGGCTGATAGGGTGCGGGAGTAGACGAGAGCTGTCAGTGCCGCCATGTTCTGCCCTCTCATGCGCCTGCATCATTAGTCTCAACCCTCTGGTTACCTGCAGACACCTTTTTATGCCACTGATCCATTTTAAAAAGGGCAGTATCAGTAAAATAAGAACTTGAGCTGCAAATCTAAGTCAGCTGGTGCGCACCCACTACAGCAAAGCTCTACCCACTAGAAGCAAGCGCATGATGGGGAACGTCAGGGCCCTGCCTCCACCGACTCCTAGGACAGCTCACAGACAAATACGAACGCAGGCCACGTGTGGACACCAGTGTCAATTCCTACATGACATGACCAGAGCATACTTTCTCTTTTTATTTCTGTTGGAGGGGCTGCCAGTTTAATAGGAAGTCAGGGAGGGTCTCGCTCAGGTGAAGGTGAGGGAATGAGCCCTATGGCTGTCTGGGAGAAGAGATTTCCCACCAAAGTAAACAAGTGCAGAGGACCTGAGGCTGCAGCAGGACGGCATGTCTTAGTAGCAGCAGAGAGGCACTGTGGTTGAGTAGAGTGCCCAAGTGGAGGAGGAGGAGGCAAGGGGCCTCTCTCATGACCTCGGCCTTTACCCCGAGGAAGCCAGGAAGGCGCTGGGAGAGAACAATCGCATGACCTGGTGATCTGGTGGCTAGCTGAGAAGGGACTGTGGTGGGTGAGGGCAGAGCAGAGGAACAGTTAGGCGGCTACTGCAAGAACCCAGAGAGAAGATGATGGTTCCGGCCAAGTGGAAGCAGGAGAGAAGGGGAGAAATGACCGGATTCTGCATATATTCTGAAGCTGGAGCCAAGAGAAAGTGGATGGGTTGTCTGCAAGGTGTGAGAACAGATGGTCAAGGCTGACTCCAAGGAGGAAGGAGAAGCTGCCGTTTACTGAAAAGGGGAAGACAGTGAGAGCAGGGGTGGGGGGAGGCGTGTAAGGTTAAAAGCTCAGATTCAAGTATGCTGCGATATCTCACAGACCCGAGTGAAGATGACTTATAAGTTACTGGATACAGAGTGCAGCGGTTTGGACTAGATAGAAATTTGGGAGCCATCAGTGTGTACCGAGGGTCCCTAGGCCCAGGAGACCACAGGATACCACCAAGGGAGTGAGCGTAAACAGAGCCGAGGCCCAAGGACAGAGCCCTGGGGCGCCCCAGCATTGATGGTCAAAACCAAGAGGAGGGGCCAGCGTGGGAGAGTGGGGAGCAGCCTGTGAGCTGGAAAAGAAGCCAGGCAAGGGTGGCGTCCTGGAGCCAAAAGTGGACCATTTCTCAAGGACGCAATGCTACCAGAGGTCAACACGTGCACCACAGGGGTCAGCTGGTGACCCTGATCAGAGCCATGAGCAACAGCACAAACCCAGAGAAGCAACCCAAGAGAGAAGGGGGGGTGAGCCCTCGAGACCGTGACACGGCGCCAGCTCAGAGAGAAGGTGATTTGAGGGTTCTGTCTGCTTGCTGTTAACGAGAAGGTACTGGCATGCATTCACGCATCCGAGTGATAGAGAAGGGGTGGGATCCAGTGCACAGAGAGAGAGGTTTGGTCCCAGACCAGGGTGCAGATGGCCCACCCTCAGTGACAGGAGGGAGACGGCAAGTGCGGGCTTTGAGCTGGCCAGAAGGCAGAGAGGGAGAAGGACCCGGACCAAGCCAACCACTGAGTGGGAGGGTGGGCGACAGCCGTGGGGGTGGGGGGCACACACACAGCAAGCCTGAAGAAGGGCAGCTATGTTGCCAGGCGTGCTAGGACCCACCTGAGGTCAGCCATCAGAGGCCGGAGTGGGCAGGTGTGGTGCAGAGCAGGCAGTGGGCGACTTACCTAGGGTCAGCATTGTGTCAGGCAACAACGGTCCATGGGAGAGAGGGACAGGAGGGCCAAGGCGGCACCGCCAGGGTGTGTGGGTAAGAGGAGCTGGTGAAAAAAGGAATGTCAAAAGGCTGGCCACACCCAGACTGCTGTGCAGGCCACACTGCCTTCTCTGGAATGCACCAAGTGGAAGAAAGTGAGGCAAAGCTTGAAGAAGGAATTTTCCGACCAGACAGAGGTGAAATTCATTTAGCCAAAAGCTACTCATTGTGCCTGCCACTTGCCAAGCATTCTTGCAGGTCCTGGGAACACAGCAATGAACAAAACAAAGCCCCTGCTGGGTACCCTGTACAGAGAGGAGCCCTAGAGGACAAAATACAAACAGATGCAGGATACGCTGTTAGACGTGATTAGTGCTGTGAAGAAAACAGAAGAGGGTAAGACAGAGAGCAACAAGAGGGACAAAGCCACAGTTTTATTTAAATGGCCAATGAGCTTCAGTGTAAATGCTGAGCAGGACTCCTGGGGAGGCTCCACGCAGAATGCTAGCCCAAATAGGGTGGCACCGTTTCCCCCTTCCTGCCGCCTGCAGGATGTGAAGGATGGTGCTCCAGCAGCCATCATGGACAAAGAGGGAATCTTGAGGATGACCATGAGAAACAGAAAGGAGTTAGGAATGCCTCCCAGGGTTCCAGCCCAAACAAGTGCCAGGAGGATGCTGTCCTCCTGGAATAGAAAGAGTAGGTTGCTAAGGAGAGGTCTGGGGCAGAGGGAGGCAGGGATCAGGTGCTCAGTTTCACACATAGTATCTCAGAAATGTCTCCCAGCCACTGAAGAGGTTATCAAGCAGGTAGCTAGCCATGTGAGGCAGGAGTTCAGGAAGGGGTCTGGTGGAGGTAGAAGTATGGGAGTCATGAGTATGGAGACAGTCTAAAGTCACAAACAAATGGTTGAGCACTGGGCTACTAACTGAAAGGTTGGTGGCTCGAATCCACCCAGAGGTGCCTCGGAAGAAAGGCCTGGGAATCTACTTCTGAGAAATCAGCCATTGTAAACCCTATGCAGCACAGTTCTATTCTGACACGCGTGGAGTTGCCAAGAGTTGGAATCGATGGGATGGCAACTGGTTTAACAATGCAGACAGAAAAGTGAAAAGATCCCCAAGCCTGAACGCGGGCACGTCAGTTTGCATGTGAAGGGCATGCGCAGAGGGGAACAAAAAGAACCAAGGGAACGGGGGCACAGAAGCCATGGGAAGAAGCACTTCAAGGGAGAATGATCAACTGGGCATCATCCACTTCTGCAACATGAGGTCAATGGTGACCCTGATAAGAATGTTTCTGGTGGAGTGTTAGGGGCAAAACCCTGATTTGGGGGATGGGGAAAAGACACACTGGAGTAAGGGGAGCAGGGGAAGGAGGTGGTGGTTGGAGGAAGGCATGGGGGCAAGGGAGGAGGCTGGTTCCAGATGGGAGAAATCAGAGCCATGCGCACACAGACAGGAATGACCTAGTGAAAATGGAAAAACTGATGATGCAGGAGAGAGAGAAGCCAGCTGCCGGAGTGACAGGCAGGAAGGGACAGAACACAAGCTGAACTTCCATAGGGGCAGGGGCAGCTCCTCTAGAGGATGTGGGCACAGAAGCAGGCAGGTCAAGAGCGGCCAGGCTGGGAAAGTGGGGCAGTGTCTTCCGAAGAGCACTGCTTACTCGGGGGGCAGTGAGGAAGCGAGGCCCTCAGCTGAGGGTGAGGCGGACCAGAGGTGTCAGGAAGAGGACAGACTGGACCAGACACGGGCAGGAAGACTGGAGAGGGGTAGAGGGGGGCCTGTCAGCACAGGTGTGTGGTGTCTCCGTTCAGCCACATCCAGCTGACTAGTTCACACTATTACAATGAATGATTCTTTTCCTCAGAAAGTTTTCAAAATACTGGTCCCTAGATCTAAAGCTTCTGAAACAATGTACACCTGGAAGTAATCAACACTTACCCACAGGAGATACGGTGCTTTGTCATATGCAGGTTAGTGCCGTCAACAACTTCGCTTCACCTGGCCCCCACTCCCAGAAAAGGATGTGAACAGACGTGCCACACGCCACATTTCCCGACGTTCACACACCGGATACACGGGCCATCCTCCTTTCTCCTGGTGCCAACTTGTCTCCCGCTGATCCACGCGCCCACAGTCAACGTCACTGGCCTCGGCACTCCCCAGTCATGGTTATGATCTCTCTGTATGGCTTTGAGAACATCCCAAGCCACGTCACCCCAGTGGGACTGTATGTCTGCTGATGATGGGATTTGCTAGACTTCAGTGCATTCCACGTAGCTCTGCCAACCCAAAATACAACTTCCTTGACCACCCAGCCAAAGCCATCAACGTCACTCCTACAGGGTCACCTCCACCCCACCCCTCCTTCCAACATCAGCTCTGACTTCCTGAAAATCTTCAAGTATCTGAAATGTTTAAGATTAGCTGTTTAACATCCCCTCCACCACCAGAGGGTAAGGGATCTTACTTGTCTTTTGCATGACAACCCAGTGCCCTTGACAGTGCCTGGCTAGGACAGGTTCTCAAAGAGTTGTTGATGGAGTACATGCGAGAAGTGGTGTGCACGGCTGGCTGTCGGGCAGGCCTGGGCTGGCATCTCAGCCCAGCAGCCTGCCAGCTGTGCCCCTGGTCAAGGTACCTGACTGCTCCGTGCCTCAGTCTCCTGTGCTGTGAAATGGACAACTGTTTAACAGCTGTAACAACAGGACCCTCGTTCTCGGTCAGCTATGGGAATGATGAGAGAACGGATGGGCTGCACTCAGCAACTGTGGTTATTAAAAACCTCCAAAGCTAGGGGTCCAAGGAGAGAGGGGCAGGGAGGGAGGGGACCTCACTAGGAGCCCCTGGGCCATACCACTCCCCTGCCAGCTGCTGCTACCACTTGTCCAGGGCTGGGGGGTTAGTTCTGCCTCTAGCTTAGCCCACCCATCAGAGAACTAGTCATTAGCAAGTCCTTTCCTTCCCTGACTCGAAATTTGTCTAAAAGAAAAAAAAAAATCTACAAGCTAGCCGAGAATCAGAGTCTCCATCCTCATCACAATCTGCACCTGTCCTGAGAGGCCTAGGGCACACAAAGGCAAGCCATGTCCCACCGCAGGCACTGCACAGAAGTACACTGGTAGGACACGCCAGACAGAGGATCTCGCTGGTGTGGTTAAGTATCCAACGATGGTGTAAAAGAGAAGAATGAAAGGTCACCAAGGACACAAGTGGCAGGACAGACTCTCAAGAAAAAAAAGAGATTTCAACCATGTTTTCGAGCGGGTAGGATTCTGAAAGGCAGGGAGGAAACTTGGGGACATTCCCGGCAAGAACACACAGTGCTTTAAGGTCTAACAAGGTCTTGAGCTTGGGAGAGGAAGAAATTATTATTTATCAAGTGCCATGGGCCACTGTCTTCAATACAACCACCTTCTGAGGGAGGGACTGGCTCTATTTTGCAAATTAAAAAAAAAAAAAAAGGTAACAAGAACTAGTCTAAGGCCACCCATCTAGGACACAGACAACCAGGATCAAACACAATGCTTGTCTGACTCATAAGACCACATGCTTCATGGTTACCAGTGTTCCTCAATCTTGAGAACACATGGATCCCCAAAATGCAGCCACAGGCCAAGTCTGGAAAACTGCATGAAAAGTTAAAACTTTAGGCATATGCGTGGAACCCAAACTTTCTACTACAAGTGCAAACCCAGACTCTGAAACTGCAAGGCAGTACTTGTTTATAACAAGATCAGAGTCAACCAGGTTGTTGTCAAACTGAAGACAGAAAATTTAAATATTACTGTAGAGAATGGGGCAGTTCTACTCTGTCCTTTAGGGTCACTGCGAGTCAGAACTGACCTGATGGCAATGAATGGGTTTGGTTTTTTCAGTAGAGAACTAAAAGACACGTGAAAACATGTCTATGGACCCCGGTTAGGAAGATGACCCCACCCCAGCCTGGGACCTGTAAGGAGGGGACAGCTAGGAGAGATGCGGGGTTCAACAGGGTTGAGCAGACGAAGCCCTGGCTGAGGCGTGGAGATGGGGTTCCAAAGAAGACAGAGGGAGACCTGGGCGACACCTGGGGAGAGGATCAGGGCCCAGAGCCAGGTCTCCCCCCTTCTCCTGGGCCATGCACATTCCCAGCTGATTTGAGGGTTATATGCAAAGAAGTGATAAAGAAGGTCTCTAAAATATTATTTTATATCGCTTATCTGAACGAAGAAAAACAACAACAAAAAACCAGAAAACCAAATAACAGAACATTAAGAGAATGATCTCTGTGCAGCGGAGAAACAGGTGATATCCAATTCTTCCGTATACTTTCCTTCAGTATAGAAGACTTGGAAAATTAGAAAATTCGGTAAATTTCTTTTATAATCAGAAAAAATAAAAACTTAAAAAAATAACTAATACAGGGGCTTCCAGTTCAAGGTGGGGGACCATGGGCCCGAGTTTATCCCCTGTCCTTCCGCAGAGGCCCACGAGGCATTCCTATAGCACAACGCCTACATAGCATCCCATAAAAAGGCTCAAGCCACAGCCAGAACAGAAGAATGTGTTCTCTTGAACTACAACCCCAACATGTGGTTTTAAGAACATAAAGACAAATCTAGTAAAGCAGGACCTAGTCCGGTGGTTCTCAGTGCGAGTGACTCTGTCCCCCAGGGAACATTTCGGGGGTGTGGCTGATTCCTGGCCAATGCAGCTCATGTGCAGCCACCATCCGTCTGTCAGTGGAAGCTTGTGTGCTGCTAGGATGCTAAACAGGTTTCAGAAGAGCTTCCAGACTAAGATGGACTAGGAAGAAAGACCTGATGATTTACTTCTGAAAACCGGCCAACGAAAACCCTGTGCATCACGACAGCACAATCTGGAACCAATCCTGGGGATGACACAGGACCAAGCAGCATTTCCTCCCACTGTGCATGGAGCTGCCATGAGTCGGAAGCCAACCCCATGGCACCTCACAACTACTGACATCTGGTGGCTGGAGGCCAGGGATGCTGCTAAGCATCCTACAATGCACAGGACAGCCCCCTCAGCAAAGAATCGTCTGGCTGAATGTCCATGGTGCTGGGGGGAGAGGGCCTGTGCTAGTCCCTCCTGTAGAAATGGTGGCTCAGTGAGGACTAGAGACTTGCCCAGGGTCAAAGTGCACTGGCAGCAGCACCTCACGGCTCGTCCGAACTCCTCCTGCTCTAGCAGTAAAATAGCAGCACAAGATGCGCTCGCCGGGATCCCAGGTGCCCGACCAGCTCTGAGGACATGATGTGCGTCGCAGGCTCCACCGCTTGAACTCAGCTAGGGGTGACCAGCCACTTAAACTGTGGGTGCTCCCATCCTCTATGCGGGGTCCTCACTCCACAGAAAAGCAGCTGTCTCCACCAGTGAAAATCCAGTCCAGGACATGCTGGCTCCTACCATTCTGCAAAAGAACTTGTCCTGGATTAACGCCGCACCCTGTCACGCGGCACTTCCAGAACCCCACTCTCTTCTTCTCTGACGCTCACGCTGCGCACGCTCCCACCTCTGCCACACCTGCAGAGGAGCCTGGCCTGCTGCTCAAGGCTGGGAACACCCGGCCTCTGAGCCACGAGCTCTTCCAGTGTTCTGTTTCATTCTACGTTAACAAATGCTTCAGCATCAAGGATCCCTAGTTTCCCGGTAAAACTCCCCCATTATCCACTAGGAATTACTCTTGGGAATTCTAGGAAAAAATATTACCTGAACAGTGATACAAGTATCAATAAAGAAGAGAGGAATTATGTAGGCTCTAAATAACCTGGGAGAAACGCAGTGGAAGTAGTGTCTCTAATTGCAAGAATACTGCCTTTAAAGTCACTCTTAAAAAAAAAAAGGTGTAAAGCGCTCTCACTGTGGCAGGCTCACTTCAAACAACCTTGTGCTCCTTCTCTACCGGAACGAGTATCAGCATGACTCTCGGCATCCTTAATAACTCTAGAGCACGAACCAGGGACAGAGAAGAGGAGGACCTGCAGGAGAAACCACTTCCTGAGGCCCTCCACCTCCACCCTTGGTTCAATTAATGAGCAATGAGAAGATGTTCAGAAAACTTTCCTGCTGGTGTTTCCCGTATTCACCAGCCAGCACCATCAGAGCTCTGGTCTCCGCACCGTCTTGTCTGTAAGTTCAAATGACAGGCCCTGGAGGTGGGCTGAGTGAGACAAGAGGTCAACAAGTTACAAGCTCCCCCACCATGTCTCTCCTTCCATGGGTGATGGGTCAGGGAGGAGGGGCCAACATCAACCCAGGCAGATGTCTAGTTGGGGGCCTCCAGCAGCATGGTGTAGCCCTCTCTGAGTCGCAGGGTCTTCATCTCCAAAAGAGGGGTGATGCACCAGCCTCATGGAGGTGAGTATACAAACCAGCCACCTGCTTCTTGAAGGGTCTGGCAAACAGGCATTTGGGACACATGAGCAACCTTCCCTCTCTCTTTCTCAATCAAAGTCGGTGCTGGATGTGCAAGTGCTGGGAAGCACAGCGCTGTTCAACACTAGCCACTAGCTAATGAAGGAGGAAGAGAACCATCGCTTCTGCTTTCCTGCAAAGATGAAGCCGACCAGGGCACAGTCTGACCTTAGTAGCGATAACTGTAACAATTATCTTTTAATGGGTGCCAAGCACTATTCTACCAATATGTAGTTACTCATTTCACTCCCAGGTGGCATCGGTGCTATTACTAACTACACTGACCAAGTAAACAATCGGAGTCGTTCAGCAAGCTGCCTAGGCAGTGGTGAACACGGGGTAGTATTCAAACCCCAGCAGGCCAGCTCAGAGCCTGTCCTCTTCAACCCTTTGCTAAACCAACTTGGGATGGCGGCGACTCGCAGCATCCACCACCATCTGTCACCACTGTGATGGACTGGGACCCTGGGGTCCTCCCGGAAAGGAACTGAGTCACAAATGCTCAGCCAGAGCTCTCTTAGGCATGTTATGACCTTGATCTTTTAAAGCATTTCTTCCCAGGTGCTTCCTTCTATGCAATCCCCATCAGATCCTCTATTAACCGTGTAAGGAGCAAGGACCGGCTCCTGCTGCTGGGAACACACATTTCATCTTAATGGAATGCGACTTGGTGAAGTGATCACCCAAGGTCACGCAACTGGCAACCGAGTGACAAGGGCTGTATTTCAGGTTTGGTAACGCCCAGTAAAACGGGTTCCCCATCAAGTCGTAGGGCTCTTCTTGTAGGTTCCCCTAAGAAGCGACTGGAGGCCAACTCATCAACACCTTCTAACATTAAGCTTCCGAGAAGACAACTGGACCCCCCTCCCCCATCTGCGAGTCAGGTCGGGGAACTCTGGCCGGGCGCCCGCGACCCCACACCACCGGAATCCCGATCTCCATCCCACCCCCCAAATTCACCAGCCTGCTTACCGCCTGGACTATCACTGGCTCGGCTCACGCTCTTTTTCACCCGAAGGGACCACAATCGGGGTTTGGAGGGAGAAGGGGAGCGCGGGCAGACCTCTCCCCGCCCTGCCACGAAGCCCTCGCAGGCTGGGCAGGGCAGACAGCCACACTGACCACACCTGACAGACCGCCCAGCCGCCGGCCCCTGGCAGCCCGACCCGGCGCGGGGCGGCGCCCGCCACCCATGGGGGAACCGACCCGGCCCGGGGCAGACTGCGTCGCCCCTCGAAGAGCCGGGTCTGGCTCGGGAAGGCCGCATCTTAGCCCCCGCCCGGCCCCCTCCCTTTCTTCCTCCTCGGGGGTCGTCGCCTTTACGGACCGCGGGCACCGGAGGGAGGCGCAGTCGCTTCCCCTCCGCCTCCCCTTGCGAGACACCCACCTTGAGAGTCGGGTACTCTTGGACCTTCAGGGTCATGGACAGCTGAGCAGCTGACTCCTGCACCGCCATCTTGAATTGGCCAAAACATTAGCGGTCGGAGGAGAAGCCGACGGTCGCGGGGTACGCCGGGTAATGACGTCCACGCCCTCCAGGCTGAGGGGGCGGGGCGGGGGCGGGGCAGAGGAGGGCGGACTTGTCTGCACCAATCGCGTTCGCCCAGCCGGCCGGGCGGCGGAAGAACGCGCGCCCTGGCGTGAGCGTCGAGGGGCGTGCAGCCGGACCAATCACCACCGGCCTTCTTCTCTTCCAGCCAATCAACCGAGAGAACGGTTTCCTTCTTGAACTATTCCGGCTGAGACGGATGGCTCCTTGCGCCGGTGTTGCGCTGTCCACCTAGCCCTGGTTTTGCGTTGGCTATAGGAGAAGCTGGCTTTCCTTGCCGTCCATGCCAGCCCGCCGGGGTCGGGGTGGGGGCGTGGGGCGGCAGGCTCGGCGAGCGTCCAGAGGGTGGAGGCGGTGCTCTGGACCACACTGCGGACTCGGCCCGCTGCCAGGCGGGCTCGGGAGTGGAGTGGCGGGCGCCTCGGTTAGTAGCGGCCAGCGACCAGCGTCGGGGTTGAAGGCTGAGTGAATTTGAGGGTTTAGCGGGTCCTGGAAACCCTGGTGGCGTAGTGGTTGAGAGCTACGGCTGCTAACCAAAAAGTCGGCAATTCGAATCCATCAGGCGCTCCTGGGAAGCTCAATGAGCGCAGTTCTTTACCCTATGGGGTCGATATGAGTCGGAATCGACTCGACGGCAACAGGTTGGGTTTTTTTGGGTTTTGGTGCCGGCCGGGGACGTGGAGCCCCGAGGGACGTGGAACCCTGGTGGAACAGGACCGAAGGAGCGCCTTCCTAGAGCCATGGGAGGGGGCGATTCCAGAGGAGCAGCCGTCCCTCCTGGCAGTGGCCCCTCCAAAACATCTGCAGGCCTCGCGAGCGTCTCAGCAAGTTGCTCTCCGTTGGGCTCTCATCTCCACAGGTGAACAGCTGCTGGAGTCCTGATGTGCGCAGTGGGCTTCCTATTGGAAAAGGAAAGACGGAGTGTTTCAAATTAATTTACGAAAAGAAATTCCCAAAGTGTAAGAAGGATAAGAAGGACCTGGAGCCCTGGTGGCCCAGTGTTTAAGAGCTCAGCTGCTAACCATAAGGTCGGCAGTTCGAATCCACAAGCTGCTCCTTGAAAACCCTACGGGAAAGCTATACTCTGGCCTATAGGGTCGCTGTGAGTCAGAATCGACTGGACGGCAACCGGTTTTTAAGAGGGGCTTGTGTACATTGGGGACTCTGGCTGCCACTGGGGACTCTGACTGCCAGTGACGTTGCCTCTGGCCTCCACCCGAGCACTCGTTTCATTTCAACCACGGTTTGGGTCACGCACATCCTTTGAAATATAACCAGTCCTTTTATATCTGTAAAAAACATATAAAAGACTCCCCCAATACTCTCTCTTGCATTTCAGGTAACTCATTTCTAAACAATTTTTAAAATAATACTTAGTCCAAAAGAAAAAAACTAAGGCAATGTCTAGTAATGAAGCGGGAACCTCCACTTGGAAGATACGTGACAACAGATGGTTGCAGGAATTTTAGCTGCTGCGTCTCAGCGCTGGAAAGCAAGAAGTCATCTTTTATCAAGGAGTTGGGGGCTGAGGAAGCATTATTCCTTAAATATATGACCACAGACTGCAGTCACTAGGGTACTTTTAGATTTTTTTGAGGTATATCTTACAGTGAAGTGTGTAGATCTCAAAAATGCAGCTCACGCTCCAAAGCACACACGTGATCTCTGGGAGCCCCTTGATGAGTGGGCAGGTGACTCGCTGTCTCCTGCACAGATGGGAGGACGTGACCTCCAGCTCCTGTGTCAGCTGCGCTCACATGGCTCTGCAGGTGAGAACAGGGACTCATTATCACAGGCAACACAAGCCACGAGCTGAATGTGAGGGCTGCCCTGCTGGGAAGATCTGCCCAGACCCTGGTGGACCCCTTCTTTCCTCTCCACTGGTGGACCCCTTCTTTCCTCTCCACTGGTGGACCACAGAGCATCTGGTACTTCAAAATAAATAACAAAGGTTTGGGGTGATGGCTTAGCCTAGAGCTGCATGACACGGCTACCTTGCCTGCCTAGATCAATTTTATGAACTGGAATTGACTTTGGGGTTATCTTAATTTGTAAGGCTCGTGGGAGGTGGTTAAAAAAAACAAAAACCAGTTGAGTCAGTTCCAACTCATGGTGACCCCATGTGTTACAGCCATAGGGTTTTCTTGGCTGTAATCTTTAGGGAAGCAGATCGCGAGGCCTTTCTTCCATGGCCCTGCTGGGTAGGTTTGAACTGCCAACCTTTAGGTTAGCAGCCGATTGCAAACTGCTTGCATCACCCAAGGACCTAGGGGGTGGTTAACACCTGCTGATTCTGCTTAAATAATTCTTGAATAAAATGTGTACCTCATATCAGATGATAAGACTTTACATAGTTGACTGGTCTATTGATAAGAAAACATTGTTTGATTTTTCCCTTGAAATTGTTTAGTAATACACCTATAAGTAGTTTCTGTGATAAGCTGTAGGGATGGAGTTCACCCAAACCACATAATCGTTATTTTCACAACATTCACTTACAAACATCTCCAAGGAAAGGCTCCCCGCTGCTGCAAGACAGGGCAGAGGCACTGCCGGGGCAGCCGGGCACCGAGGGGTGGCCTTGCAGGTCCCGAGTGGGGCTCAACCACAGATGTGTGCTTTTTGGTCATCCCTGCCAGGGCCCAAGACTGAAACAGAGTATGAGCCTTAAGAACAGAAAGGTGTGGCAAGGACAAAGTAAGTGTCTTGGGTCCAGAAAGCCCTGTCTCATGTGGACAGTGTCACCAGAAGTACCTCCCAGTTAGGGACTCTGGGGACAAAAAAAGGTACAGTGAGATGTGCTGTTCCAAACCCTGCTCCAAGTGTTTCTGTAACCCTGGCTAAGTAAGTCGGGAACTTGCGTGAGTGTGTGTGTGTGTTCTGAGAGTGCATTGTGTGTGTGTGGTGGGAGTTGTGTGTGTGTAAAGGTTTCTTCTCCCTATTTGACACCCATCTGAAAGGATGCAGTTGGTGTCATAGGTGAGATTTGCATGAAGACCCTCACCCCCATGCTGCCATGGTTTTTTGAAGAGGGGTGTTGGGAAGCAGAAACGGTGACCTGGGTGGAGATCAAATTTTCTGTAGCATGAGGCCAATGAGTCATTGTAAAAGTTTTCTTGTTTGGGGGTCATGCCAGTGGAACTAACCCATGATTTCCCTAACTAAACAGTCAAACCCAGCAGATGATTAAAGAGGGTGCCCACAAAAGTCATTAAAATAGTTTATGTATTTATTAGGTCACAATGAACGCGTTAATACATTGCTAAGAGCAGAAGTAGTACAGATGAGATTCATGATCCCAGTGCCCCCAACTAGAAGTTATTAACAGAGTAAGAAAACAAGGCAATTGCACTTGGGAAACCCTTGTTCTAGAGCCAAAGAGGGGATAGAAATGGAGATTGTAGATTTTCTAGAAAACAGTCTGTGTATCAGAACCAATCAGATAGATATTGCTCACTAGAAAATGTATAGCTTTAAATAATTGTATTAATTACAAAAGGGAGAAAAAAATGATTTAACATTCCACTTAACATAAAAGGACAACGTTATGGATTGAATTATGCCCCCCTGCCAAAAAAAATATATATGTTGAAATCCTAACCCCTGTACCTGTGAATATGACACTGTTTGGAAAGATAGCTTTCTTTTGTTATGTTAATGAGCTCATGGCAGTGTAGCGTGGATCCTAAACCTAATCACTTCTGAGTTATAAAAAGAGCAGAATAGACACACGGACACACACAGGGGAAGACAGACGCCGTGTGAGGATCATCCGTAAGGCAAGGAACCAAGGAACACTCGAGGCCACCAATAAGGAAGAAATCAACACAGCCAAGACCCTGGTTTGGACTTTTTGCTTCCGGAACTGTGAGAAAATAAATTTCTGTTCTTTAAATGCACCCACTTGTGGTATTTGTGTTACAGCAGCACTAGGTGACCAAGACACCAACAACAAACAAAAATGAGAAATAGTAAAGACAAAGGCAGAAATTAAAAGGTTAGAACACTAAAAAGTGGTACAGCCAACATAGAAATAAATAATATGCTTGTTCAAAGAATAACATACACAGTCCCACTAACTACTGAATTTTTGGAAAAGCAATGTAGCACAACTGTGGAAAATAAGAAATGACAAAGGGAAACTGACAAGTAAAAGAAATTACAGGAGTCATAAGCGATGTCTTTGCTCTGCTTCATGTGGTGAAACATAAAATAAGCTTCTAAAAATGAGCAAAAAAACCCTGTCCTGCACACCTGGTCAGCACCGTGAGGCTGAGGGAAGCTGTGCTGACGTGTTCTGGGTGGCCCCGTCTCACGTCCGCTGCGGTTCTCAATTGTCACTTCTTATCAATTTGTAACCTACCAGAAATAATGCAACAATCTTTTGAATGTATTTCATATATTTAAAGTCATTGCTTAAAGTGATTTAAATTATTTTTTTGTTTTTTAATTGGAATCTAGTTTACATAGAGTAGAATGTCCAAAGCTTAAATGTACTGTGTGATGAGTTTTGACAAATGTATACATCAATGGTAACATCACCACCATCAACATACTGAATACTCCCTTTGCCTACAGAGGTTTCCTCCTGGGCTTTTCAGTCAGTTGCTTTCATCATAAAGGCAAACACTGCTCTGTTTTATCTCTATCAATTAGTTTTGTCTGTTCTTAAACTTTATACAAATGGAATCATACAATATGTACTCTCTCTCCTCTGGCTTCTATCATCAAACATTGTTGTAGCGTGCGGTCGAATCAATTCTGACTCAACGACCTCATAGGACAGAGTAGAACTGCCCCACAGGGTTTACCAGGCTGTAGTCTTTATAGGACAAGCCCTCCTTGTGCAATGGTTAAGTGCTCAGCTGCTAACCGAAAGGTTGGTGGTTCGAACTCACCAGCCGCTCTGGGGGAGAAAGACCTAGCAATCTGCTTCCATAAAGATTTACAGACTAGGAAATGTGGG